ACATTTAAAAAAAGGCTTTGATTCTTTTTTTTTTATTTTGAAAAAGCAGAAAGATATCCCAGCACAGTGTATATTACAGTACCACCACGAATCTTAAACCCTTTGGTTTAATGCTTGTCCTTTCTCTTTCATTCTCTTACCTTGTGGAGGTACATCCTGAAATAAAAGCAACATCCATTCCACAAATTGCTTTGGCTTTAACCTGGTATTTTTGAAGAGAGAAAAGCTATATCCTTGTCTTAAACTTTCTATACTTCAAATATTCAAGCATTACCATGATCAGAACATCTTCAATGACAAACCATTTTCTTATTCATTTAACCCCTACAGGGAAGAGCCTTTTTTCTGCCATTGGGTTTTTCATGTTAAGAGGTTAGAGCAGGAGAACATGCATAGATTTATGTCCAGGTGGTAGGAACATCAATTTCTCCTTTTAACTACATCAGGTATCATGCTCCAATGAATGAGAGTGAAAAGACTTTTCATTTATTGGACAGTTTTCCATTTGTTTTGTTATCTATTGATATTTCAATAGGTGTCAAATGTTTTACTTCCGAAATATTGTCACTAAAGAAAAACAAATTATGGCTGATCCTACCTTTGTTTCAATGCCTTTCAGAGGGAGAAAGAGATTTTTAAATGTTATTCAGTTCATCAAGTTTTAGGACACAATGATATTGATCAAAATTATTTATATGTAATAATTAAGTTCAGTAATTGATCAAGAATGCAGGTCACTATTGGTACTCTAGAATAACAATAATGAACAGTGAGATGGCCACCTGAGAGACCAAAACTGATAGCAAATAACATATTGGAAGCACTGAATATCGTGAAGTTCAAATAAATCAGGAAGATTAAAAGAGATCTACAGAAGGAAGATTACGACCTAATTTCTTTTCCTCTTCACTAGTGAAGTGGTAAATATAACAATGAACTACAACAGAGAAGTACCAGAACCTCTGGAAAGAATCTGATGCTGCTCTACCCAAAAAAATTACTGACAAGGGCAGAGGTCATCAGCCAGAAAAAGAAACTTTGAGGAGCATTAAGTATAACATTAAGGACAGAAATTTTCCTGGAGCAGAAAACAAACAAAACCATGAACTGTATCTGTGTTGAACATGGCTAATGTGACACCAAAAACATCTTCCTTTATAAGTGTATAAGCAATGATACCAAGTATTTCTGCAAAAGAAAAAGCTTTGTAATTTAGAAGATGTCTTTTGTACAGTTCATAGACCATGTTTCAACATTTTTGTACTGCAAATTATACATTCAAAATTATTATGAATGGAGAGGACAAATTTCTCAGCTGTTTGCAATCACGCTTTCCTGTGTCCTCATTAGCTCTTATGAGCCTGTGCAAGATACTTTTGGAAAGATCACGTAGTTCAATATCCGGTCCTTCCCTTGGGACATTTCTGTCACTTAGTTAGGAGGCAATTCTCATAATTAAATTCACCAGAAGACATTCAGATTTGTGTGTCTCAACCCATATAAATTAAAAATATAAATAGGAAAACATTGCAGCATTCTGTGTGTCCTCCAGCTTCTTATTGCTCTTGGTTCCCTTTCTGCACTTCAGAATTCTCTGCTAGTCTTAAAGGCTCCCACATGGACGTCAGTTTTCCTCCTAAACAACCCAGAATCAACACGTCCTAGACATTCACTGCAGCTTGAATTCATCAGCTTCATCAGCTGCAGCTTGATCTATATTTCATTTTAGTACTATCTTTTTTAAAACCATTTCCTCAATGGGAACAATTTTTTCCAATCGTTTCCAGCAGAGAAAGAAAAGTCGGTTCAAGGGAAAACTTGCAAAATACAGTAAGCAAAATCTTTTCAAAATCACTGTCAGAACGGCTTTTTGTAGATGACATGACAATAAAACTCTAAAATGTAAACCTATATAAATCTATTTGAGTAGTACTGCACCCTTAACAAGAAAGTCTGTATAAAGCAGCACATTTCACAGCCCTGCCCTTGCCATATTTCCTGCCTTGTCATGTCACACTACTTAGACTTGCTGAGTTTTATTACAGAAGATTAAGATCCAAAAAGCACATGCATACAGAATCATGAATTTCTCTCACATGAACAGTGGTTCACATGATTGTTATTCATGATTCCAGGCAGTCAAACACCAAGATGTGTGCCAAAATCCATGTCCATATTCACAAATCACAGCAAAGAGACCCCAGAAATTATCCTGAACTGGTTCTGATGAGTCAACCAGTCGGTAACATTTCATGCAGCAGAAAATTCTGGTTCACTGGTTATTGGCATAAGGTTCCTGAACTATGAAGCTGGAAAGAGAATTAAGGGTAATCTGGAAGCTCCAGATAAACCAGACAAATACTTTGACTTCCAGTTTGCTTACTGTATCCAGAACTGGAAGTCAATGGCAGTGGCATGGATTAAATGAATAGTGCCATGTATTATTTTACCTGCTAACCTAACCCCATTGAAGCCAATTAGTTAAAGTAATATTAATTTGCTCCAAGGCTTTTATCACTTCAGCCTTGTCTTTTTTAATAAATCAAATATTATTAAAAAGAGAATTCAATAAAGTCACAGTTATATTTGGGATATATTAAAAATAAACTCATGTGATAACAACAGACAACTCACAAATTGTTTCTTTCACTTATAAAATGCATAACACTCTGACAACCAATGGAATAAAGCAAAATAAAATTCAAGGAATGACATTTGAATTTATAGATTAGGTAAGTCTATAAAAGTGGTTTTATGCACATAGGGATACACAAACTGAAAATTCTTGCACTACTTAATTAACACAAAAAATTATAAGGTTATGACTTAAAAACTTCAAAGTATAACTGAAACACTATTAGCAATTTTTTTGTTCAGTGATTATAATGGTATAAACTGATCTATTACTCTCCCATGAAACAGAGAGAAAAAATTGTACATCTGAAAAATATAATGATGAAAAAGACACAGACATTCACATACACGAAATCTTCTGCAATTATGACTAGCCCAGACTGTTGGCTGCTGGGCAGAGGTGGCTCCCCTCCAATTACTAATGGTCATGAAAAGATTAAATGCCTTCAACTGCTATTTCTAAGTTTTAGTGATATTTTCCAGTTCAGCTCTTTTTACCGTTCTTAAACTCAAAGAGATCAATGGAAAAGGGAAAACTCCAACACTAGGTCTTTGACCCAAATTGCTAGCAGGTAGTATCAGAAGTCTGAAACGATGGGTACAGTACTATTCCTTTCAAAGACTACCTGACAATGAAAGTTTGATGGCATTCAGAGCTCTCACAAGAAAGTTCTGTGTGAGGACTTCAATTCTGCTTTTAGAAGTGCCACAGTCAGCGCTCCCCCGGGGGCGGGCAGGGAGGGGGAGCTGCAGTAAGCTTTGTGCTGCCATGAATAGCGAGGAGTGTGGTACCTCCTCCAGACAGACAAGCTCATTAGTCAGAACACCTCAGCAAAGCAGCACTGTTTTAAAGTTCAGTGAGTCTGAGCAATGGTCAAAACAGTGTGGAATCACCACGGTAACAAAGAAAGATGACCTGACTCGAGCACACCTAGACAGCCTCTCCAAGCTCAGAGCCCGCAGTGGCTCAGCCCCTGGACACGGTAATTGCTCTGCCAAGTGGCTGAACAGCAGCCAGGGGCTGCAGCCTTTCCTGCAGAGGGGCTGTGCTGCATCTCTGCAGCTCTGGGCATCTTCACCAAGCTTTCCTGACAGCTGTCAACTGGCTTTCTGACCTTATGGAAACAGCTGGAAGTTGGATTTGCTCTTTAATGTGCAACTTCTAGTAATGCCTTCAATGAAGATCTTTCACTAATAATCACTGTAGGTCTTGTTCCCTTAGCCCAGAGCATAAACCTGAGATTTCTTCTGTCATTTTTGTCTCTGTATCTTCATTAAAAACCACCACTGGGAACACAGAGTTTTCAGCAATTCGGGGTACAGACCTGCAACACTTTCCTCCTACATATCCAAAACATTTTCATGCAAGACACAAAAAAACATTATTAGAAGTATAGTAAGGTATCTATCTGAATACTTTCTATGTTTCCTACAGCTATTTTTTCCACCTACAAAATGGTTTTTCCACTCCAACAACTCCACAAAGATCCAATTAACTCCATTTAGCAATTACTATTTCCTTGACCTTTCTTACTTGCATTAACTTCTCCTGCATTTTCATATGCTAAAACACCTAGGAGGTATGCAGTAGTGGTTATAAATAGTCATTTCCAATTATTATTTCTCTGACCTTTTTGTCTCATATTCTTGCAAGTGTTCCCTCTCAGGGGAGCCAAATGACAATTTTGTCAGTAGGTTTTGGATACACTCTCTTCTCTCCTTTGTACTCTTCTGTTTTTCATATACAAAAAAATATCAGTGAACTTTTCCAGTTAAATTATACATCTTCCTTTTGTTAAGAACAAGCTCTCCCAGGTTGCTTCGAAATTATAGCATATATATATGTATATTTACTGTACACAGACTCACATAGTTTCCCCATCTCTGCCCTTTTTCCACCCTTCTGCTGTCTTTCCAGCCTTTCTGACCCTTTTTTTATGTCCAGAAAGAGGTAATATATTCACCTGCATTATTTAATTTCTATTTATAGAGACTTAGTGCGTGCTGATTTTTTTCAAAAATGTTCCTTCCTTTGTTTTATAAGAAAAAAAAAACACTTTAAATTTTAATATATAGGTGCCTTGGAGCTGAAGTGCACAGAGAAATGAGTGAAAATCACTATCCCTCCAGCTCTTGCAAGAGGATCTTGTGTGAAAAAGACCTGAAAGCCATATCTTGCAATTACAAGTTCACTGCTTTAAAAATATATTATACATATAAAACCTTGAAATAAACCAGTGTTTTCAGCTGCAAGCACTACCTAATTTTTCTGCCTTCAGCACAATAAAATGCAACAATGCAATATTCTTGAATAAGAGCTTTAAAACAAAGGAGTAACATTATTTGCAACAGTTCATACACAGAGTTCTAGAGCGTAACTCTTGCAAACTTAAGCATCAAAACATATCCCTACTATAAAGCTCCACAGTCATCTGTTTTAGTGGAAAGCTTATTCAACGTTTGAGGCATAAAGGAGTCATCAGTTTCAAACCACTTAACATATTTGGAGCAGTCAGTGGAAGCAGCAGTCAGAAATAAATGCTGTAGGTGATACTGGGTGGAACTGAGAGAACTGAGGAGAGAATGAGGACACTTACAGGTTTAGCCTGAAAAAGTTGAGTGAGGATTTACTTGCCTATTCCCTTGTTCTTTTATGACTCTATTAATGCAGGACACACTCACACGGCGAGCCGTAAAACATTTCAGTCCAACCAAGGATGGCACCCATCCAACAGAAGTTTGTGTGTGAACACAAGGGTTCAGTCTGGTGATCTGTGGATCCCTGGCAGGGGCTCTGAGATATTTATACAAGATCTGCAATAAGCAAAAAGCAGAAAGCCTATTATCAGTAGGTTAAAACTTGCAATACAAGAAACTAAATTCAACCAATAGTGGTCCATAAGACAAAAAAGGTTGAAATTTACCAATACATCAGACAAGGCTCCTGCTGTAGGTCACAATTGATCAAACATAACCCTTTTTCTATTGATATCATGGCCATAGTCTAAGAGGATATGCTAGATCAGAATTTGCCTATAGAATTGTCATGGTTTTCGTCAATATGCACTGAGCAGTCCAAGTGACATCAGCCACATCCTAACCTCTATTACATTTATTTAAATTTATACATGCTCTGCAGGATGAACACATGATGAAATTACTATATTTGCCGTGCTGCTCAGGGGAAAAAAAAGAGGTTACAGAAAATAAGATTTATAATATTTTCTTTTAAAGCTCTGCAGCAGACAATCTACTCTTGACAAAAGTTACAACAAATGTTTGAGATGTTCCACAGTTTAATTTTATGTCTATAGACCTCTGATCTAAGTAAAAACCTACACAATTTGGAATTCTTTTTAAATTGCTTCTAGCACTCTTCAGAGAGCAAGTTTTCCCATAGAACCATACAGACTAATGGATAATGGCCTTTTTCAGTAAGACTGCATATCAAGTCTATTGGTAGAAGATACTACAAGAAAATCAGATTTGACTTCCCATCTCAGCTGATCTACAAATATAACAGGATGACAGTTTACCAATCCACATTCACTCTAGAGAGCACCAGAAAGGATTTAAACTTTCTGCAAAATCAAACTAGGGATTTTTTATAATGGAGGCAGCTTCTGTATTTCTCCAATTTTGCAAGGCTTTTAAATTCACATGTTAATTGTACTTTTTTTTTAAATTTCTGATCTCAAATCCTATAGTAGTGAAATAGTCTGAATGGGAATCTTCCACAAAACCATAGGTGTTAGATGGATTTATGCTAGTGATTCATAGAAATGTTTCTTTTATTGAGAGAGCAAATAACCAACAAGATCTCCTGGAAAACATCAAGAGATAACATTCTGCCTAATGAATAAAGCCTGAGTCTTTGGCATTTTCTCATCATTAAGATTTCATAGAGCCATTTGTAAAAGTCAGGGACACCAGTCCTTGCATGCTGGCTCAACTCCAATTTTTACAATTACCTCCCGACAGCTTAAATTCCCCTATGACTTTGAAATATCTTCCTGTTCCTTGTATAAAATTCCTACCACTTTTTTCTTTGAGAGTATCTCTACTTTTTGTGGTTCAGACTTGTATACCCTGATTTCTAGATCAAAACTAATTTTACTGTTCTGTACCTGTCTCACTACTGGAAGGGCCACAAAGTCTCTTGATGTAAAACATGCTCTGGTTTCTCTCTAAACTATGGCCTGTGAAGCACCACCAAAACCAGAAGATACTCTCAGTCACACTGAAATATTTCCTTTAAAGAAAGGGGTTAAATTTACTCCTAATGGCTCAGTCCTGGGAAACAGGACTCTAAATTGCTGGTCAGAGAAACCATAAAGAAAGCAAAGACTCTGACATTTGTGAAGTTTAATTCCTAGAGTGGGAAGGCATAGAGAGAAGTGCTGGTTACAGGATGTGAATTGCAAATACAGTTGTTACAGAGCAATTTATTTTCTTTGTTTCTTCCTTCAAGCCTTGTGAGTTCCACTGTTGTTTTGAGATTTGTATTTCTTCTGTCCATCCTTTACGGTTGCTTTAAAAATCCATGAACAGTAGAGGCCTTGCTACTGGTACAGAGAGCTTTGGAATCAAACTCTGAACTCTCCTACCCTGCAACAAAAAACATGCAAGATTGGACATAATTACATTTATCAGACTTGTGGTTTTGTTCGAATTTTAATAATATATTTAATGAAAATAACACCTATCACACTGCAAAAGGAAAAGAACTCCAGGAAATGCCATGAAATTCTACTTTACCCTTTGACCCCACCACAGACAAGGCCTGGCCCCCACATGCTGCTGGATTTCACTGTAAGGTTTTGATTTGCAGGCAGTGAAATTGGAGTTGCTTAGATTTGATGCAAACCACTCTACTGAAACACTTCTGCTTAGATCTCAGATTCACCTTCTCCACACAGCAATAACCCACTCTGCTAGAGCAAGAGCCCTTTCATTCATGAATGTGAAATGTTCAGCTAATTCTAGCACCTCTGTGAAGGAAATAAATTATTTACAGACAAAAGTATCATAAAAATATTAAAGATTACACTCAACTGCTTTGAATAGTATCTCACAGTATGTGAAGCCTTCTCTGCAGTCATCAGAGCTACTCCCAGCACAAGAAAGGGTCTGAGCTTGAGGCAATTCTACATGGTGGGCCAATGTCATACAGCACATCTGTGACCAAAGTGGGCAGACAGCCCAAACCTCTTCCAACTCCTGCCTCCTATGCCTCCTTTCACAATGACATTCAAAAACGTAAGAGCTCTTTAAAATATTGATACAGTACATTAATTTCTAAAATATTTGGGATAACGTACATTGTCCAACAGTATGCATACAAAATAGAAGTCAGAACAAGGAGAAAGGCCATTGATAGGGGGCACTGGAGTTAGGAGCAGTACCATTGCTTAGCTAAAAATGGTTGTGTCACAGTTATCTTAATACCAGAGGGCTTGGCAAGGCCAAAAGAAGTGAACCCAGGGTGGACACATGCTCAAGGCAGGGTTGGTGCAGCACTCCCAGGAGCCTGGGAAACCCCCACACCCACAGACAGAATGGTGGCAGAACACCACTCAGGAGTCTCTCCACAGCCACACTGAAGTGTTCTCCTCGACTCACTGTTTTCTCAGATGTGTACAGCTACAAAGAGTTATAAAGAAAAATTCTTACAGAATTCTTTCAATGCTCTTTCTTGAATGCAGACTTTAGAGCTATCTAATGCTAGAGCCAGACTAACTTGTTCACCTTGAAATGTCACTTTGTATCTATTGCAGTCTGATGCCTTGGCTGATGACCAGATGCTTCTTGCCAGCTGCATCCACTGTTTGTATCTTAGTTTTCACCTTTTAACTTCACTTCTTCCTCTGCAACAATAACCTCAAACAATATTTTTCTATAACATCCAGTGCTGAAATAATACTGGAATTTCTTGCAATTTTCTCCCTAGTATAAGTATGTCTCACAGCCCTCTGCTTTTGGTGCTTTTAGACAGCAACATCCAGTGAAAAACACTGCAGGCAGAATCATAACAGCCCAGACACCTCCTTCTGCTAACTGCAGGCAAGAGGGAAAGAGCTCATAAACAATGTGTGCCTGCTAAGCCAGAGTTATTGTGAAAAGCTTTTTATTCCCACTGCTGAAAGATGAGCAATTCTGGCGTTCTCTCGAGAATATTAACAGCTGAAGAGCAACCCCAAGAAACCTGTCAAAACAGCTGACTTCAACAATTTTTTCAAAACAAGTCCCCTCTTTCCTTACAAGTTCCTTGTGCTGGTAGCAAGTGCAAAGAAGTTTTCACATTTTTGACAATTAAAGTGGGTACAAAGTAAAATACAAGGAACATTACTCAACATTTTTCTAAAGGCTGCATATGGAAAGGCACAGAGCTGTTCTCTTTCATGGGCTTTCTAGGAGCTTCCATCTTTTAGAAGAGATTTGTGGGAGAGGGCATTCCCAGAAAGGAGCACCTGAGGGAACTGATTACCCACCAGTAACTTCAGCCACTCTGAGCGTGCTTCTCACGGTATTGTGTGTCCTGTTCTCCCTGCCAGCTCCACAAGCTGAAAACAGCACCATCCACCCCATGCCCCCACATGAGCACTTCAGAATTTTTCATATTCTAAGACAGTCTCACTCAAGGACTTCATTGCCAGAAGATATTTTCTTCTGCAGTTTTATACAGGTGATGAGCTTCCTTCTGAAACTCTCTCATAAGGTACAGTCTGCCTCAGTCATGATTTTGTTTCTGACATTGTGTTCTGACATATAAACCAGAAAAAACAGACAATATTTCTGTGGCATTAACCAGCAGTACTGACAGAATGATGGGTAACTTAAAGAACATTGGTATAGTCCTGTTAATTTGATTTATAAAGGTAATTGTTACTAATCAATTACGTAGTGAATTAGATACCTCCACAGCCAGGCTCAGTGAAGGCCCCTTTATTATCTTTGGCATTTGCAGCAAATGGCAACAGCACTACGTGTTCCTCATTCCCATCAGTATAACTTTAAATCCTCTTGGCTTTCATAAAACAAGAGCTATCATGTCAGCACCTCTGTGAACCTGTGAACAACAAAGTGAGTGAGCTTGCAGTTCCAGGAGTTAAGAGCAAATCTTCACAAAGACAGTGCAGGCAGAGCTCACATCAGCCACGCAGCAGCTCACCGGGTGTCTCCCTTGGTTACAGATGGTTTATTTCAGAAAATTGTCAATGGAGATAACCCAGATAACCCTACCTCATGTGTCAAAAGGAAGGGAATCTAAAAAAACCCAACATAATGCTCTTATCTAAGTATGAAACTAAAATAATTGTACCCATCTCAGCATTATTCAGAACACAAAAGAATCAAAGGTTCACTAAACTAAAATTGATTCTGATTTCATTCTTTCATACAGAATAGCACAATTGTTAGCTATGTTAAACATTATAATTCAATACATGAATTATTAATTTAATAAATTCAGATTAGCAGTCTCAGAGAAGATAAAGGTCAGTAATTTAGCAACTAAATCCAAGCAAAAATTAAGCGAAGAAATAAAATGCCACAGTTCAGACAAAAACCCTGTGTCACTGAAGTGAGCTGTGCTCCCCAGGCTGTGCCAGGCACTGCACTCTGGAAACGTCATTATGTAACGCTGCAGCTCCTCACCTGCCAGGCAAAAATACACCAGAGGGAACCTTTGGGGAAAATTCCGTCATGATGAATATACGCAATCATTAATTACACCTTCCTTCCGTTGTGTACTTCTAGACCTCTGGAACATGGCCACTGTTTCTGGATAGTCTGCAGTACACCACAGCATACAGAAGTGTCAGAGGTTGAAACTATTGTTCTCAGAAAATAGGGCTGTTTATATTACTTTCATTTTCTTTACGAATATTTATAACTGTGCCACTAGTGCACTGTAGTGTGGATGAATGGTCTGTATTTCATATTGATCTTAGGCAACTCAGCAAAGGCTTTCTTTAATCTATAATTAAAAATTAAAACCTTTAGGGGAGCTATTCATCTGACAGTCAGTTTTCTTCTTGCTGCCCTCTGCCAGTAATTAAGTTCTGCTAGCACTTTCAATTTTTTTAAAAACTTGGTTTATTACTATTTTCTCCATATTTGTTGCCACAAAACACCAGAGGCTGACATGACGCCAACAACTTCCATTTAAAAAAAAAACCCACAGAGTAATATGAAAAATGCATTTGAAGTACTTGTATTACCAAGCTGTATTCTGTGAAAAACTGTATTGCACGTCCTCCTTCATTACACTGGACCTATTACAAATAACAGCTACAGCCTGCAGAATTAAGAACGTGGATTTCACCAGAAATACTTTAAAATTATATACAAAAATTTAATCAGGATTCTTTTTCATTTGTTTAAAACTGCCTGGTTTTACCTTGGGAATTCAATCCACCTGATGGATAATCAGAAAGGACTGATACCAGAAAACATCACCAAGTTGTCACTCAACAGTCTAACACGTGCTGATCAAGTCTCAACACCTTTTGTACAGGAGTATTCCTTCTGTGCTGCCCCAATGGGAGGAATGCTGATACTTGTGTCCACCACAGCACTTGGGCCCAAAGAGCTCAGAGCACTTCCCTAGGGTTGAGCACCATTTCCTCTTCCCACATAGGCCAACAACTCCCATGGCTGAGAGAGCCTGAAACTCAATTCTAAAAAAAAACAGATTTTCACCAAACATTTGCACATTAGACATGCAGTTAGCATGCAAAAATGGCATCAACAAAATGCCTCAGTAATGTCAAACAAGCAGGGTATTGAACTCCCTCACTGCCTAAAAAATATTTGACTTTCATCTCCACTTGTCAAATCAGAAATCATTAGTTTACAATAGAGAAATCTGGCACCTGGCACTTTCCTTATTAGGCTTGGGAGGGAAAACATGATAAGAACAGCTCTGCAGCAGCACGCCCCTGTGATTAGGAGAGAGGCATGTGGTGCTTGACACTGCAGGTCTTGCTGGAAAGAAAAACTACAAAGCAGTCACCAGTCTTCCCTGAGCCTGTCAGCAATTGTAACCATAGGACTTAAAAACCAGTAGTAAATACAGGATCTGAATAACCTCCTGCTGGGTTACACAGTTACTCCAAAAGGTTCTCAATCACTAGTCTGAAAAATGCTATAGGAGAAACAAAAATTATTTTAGTTAAACAGGCAGGGATTGTAGCTAAAAGCAACAGCCCTGCACTGCTGCATTTCAGAGAGCATTTAGAATTTCAGCCCACTTTTTTTTTTTTTTTTTTTTTTTTTTTTTTGTCAGTACAGATAAAGAAACATTAAAGAGTTTAGATTTTAACCAGATTAAGAGTGTCAAACCCTGGAGCTAAAATGTTCAATGTCATCAACATTCTTCCAACTTTTATAACATTTATTCAAATACAAAGCAAAGCTAAATGCTCTACACTTGAGTAAAATAAAGTAGGTGTTTAGAAAAAGTAATTGACATCCTATTCATGGCATACTGAGAGGTTAAATATACCTGCATGTGCAACATAATTAGTCAAAACAATTCAGATATGAAGGAGATAAATATATCTTTAGTATTAATCAGAAGAACATAGAAGATAATGTGTGTTATC